CCCCAAAACCCCAAAACCCCAAAACCCCAAAACCCCAAGGGGCAAAGGGGATATTGAAAATTTAGGAGAAATTTGGATGAAGAGGAATTTGGGGTTAGGTTTCGTTCATGAAGGTAGCCATTGATTTGTTTGTAATACAATCTGTGATGTAATTGCATGTCTGTATCAGCTTTTCCATGGTCTTCCCTGGGAAATGGTATAGTATTTTATCATAATCTATGGGCTTGTTTCGATATTCGTTCTTGAGTATTTTCTTAAGAGCCTTGACCTCTCGAAATGAAAACTTCTTGCAACTAAGTTTCTGGATTCTTTCAATCAACTTTTTGTACCCAGTTTTCCACTCAACTTTGACTTCTAAAGCAGTCACTCTTTTATCACGATTAGATAGAATTTTCGGGTCCATTATAAGAAGGTCTTCCAATTGGATAACACCTTGTTTCTCAAGAGCTCTAATAGCTGCGAAGAGTTTCTTATCCTGATTCTTGTCCCATCTTATCATTTTTCTCTTGTTTTTAGGAGAAAGAGGAAAATCGAATTGAGCTTCCTCTTCTATCTCGTCTACTCTGAAGTCATCACCAATAGATTGAGCATACTTATTCTCTTCTAGCTGTACGTCCATCTTTGGTTCCTTTTCTATTAAAGTTCTGTTAGTTGCTCGGAGTTCTTTCATAAATTCAGAATTAGCACAATTATTATCTGTTGTCTTTATTAAGCCAGTTTTTGAATCCAAAGCCTTCTTTGAGTTTCTTTGGGTCTTATCCGGAAGATCAATAGGATTTTCGTGATCTTTAAAATTCATATTTGATGGGATATTTTGATCAATATCCTGTTCCAGGCGTTCTCAAACGAGTTCAGTAGATATCTGAGTTAGTATTCTTTGCTTTTCCTTAAACGGTTTCAAATCCCTATTTTGCTTTATTGCTTTTGAGAAGTCCTGAATGCTTCAAATAAATAAGTTCTTGTGAAAATTTGAAGCACTAAATCTCTGAAAAGCCCAGTTGATTGGCTGCTGGTATTCACCATAACAATTATGTGTCGACTTAAAGTTGATGTGAGCGGTCTAAAATATTCACAAATTTGGGATGAACTTGAAGTTAAATTAAAAATTTTCTTTGAATAATTCTTAAAAATGCAGGAATTATAAAAACTTTACCTTTAAATCAGAAGCTAAAATTTAACCAAATAGATTAGATACTGTTGAGAGTTAGTATTCAAAGCGTTTACACAAGAAAAATTGTGATTGCGACCATAACTATCACTTTAATATAAATTGTTAAGCAGTGGAATACTATCATTAAGCTAACTGGGGTTCTTAATTTTTAATAATAGTTTTATAAATTTTAAACGACCATACTTGCTCTAAATTGATGTGTATTCCTCTAATTTCATTGCTTTCTTTGATATTTGTGCCTAAATTATCAGTTTTGCAAAAGTTATATTTTTTTCTCATAGAAATCGTAAAATAAGATAGCTCAATTTTTTATTTCTAAAGGGATAAATAAAAATTTGATATCTTCAAGTTTGTGACCAAGGAGGTAAATATTAAGAATAATATACAGACTCGAAAATTGGATAAGAAACAGTAATATTTTTGACAATTAAAGTTTTATGAGAACTGCTAGAAGTTTGTGCTATCATCCCAAATCAACACTATTTAATCGGGTTTGAAAATGATTTAAAATTTTAATAATGATCAATTCCTTTAAATGCAATAAATATATCTATCCAAAATTTTGAGGAAATGGCTATCTACTTAGTTTTTTATGGTTGAGAAAAAGGTAATATGATTACCATCGAATAATTATGTGTAGTCAACAAGCTTGGAGCATTGATAAAATGTTTCTCAAACTTATAAAAATGTCAAGTACCATCAATCTTGGTTGATATAGAATTACAAAAAATCAATTCCTTGGCTATCAATATACTAACTAATTTACTTTTAATTTTATTTGCTTGCCTTTAATGTTAAATTGCTTAACCTCCTGCTTAGATTGAGACAATTGAATGCTCCTGTTCTTTTTGAAAGACATATTGTTAATTATTATATTAGAAAGCTTCAACACATCATTCCCACAATGGGGTTTTGGGGTTTTGGGGTTTTGGGGTTTTGGGGTTTTGGGGTTTTGGGG